ACATATAGATACCTCAAACTGGGAACTGGGGACTGGGGACCAGCTTAGAAGATACATACAAATACATACATACATATTATATATAGCATATAGATATCTCAAACTGGGAACTGGGGACTGGGGACTTTCTTAAAAGATACATACAAATACATACATATTATATATAACAATATAGGTATCTCAAACTGGGAACTGGGGACTGGGGACCAGCTTAGAAGATATATACAAATACATACATATATAACATAACATACAATACACATATATCTCATAAATTAAAGCATATTCATAGATATCTCAATGTAGGATATTCATGAATTATTGTTATTTAATCACATATTCTATGCCAACTAATAAATTAATTGTTATGTATCTAGTTCTATACATGTATCTAGTCTATCTAATTAACATATTCCATGATTGTATATATATCATACATATATATAAATACATATAATAATGTATGTATCTATCTAATTTGCATATTCTGTGCAGGTTTACATGGCCCATAAGCCTTTTATAAAGATGGAACGATCAATTTGAAGTTGAAATATGACCAAATAGTTACCAGTATCATAGTTGAAAGCCATTGATATCACTTTTTCTTTTTCTTTTATCCTGCCCAATTCAATTCTTTGATTTCAACAATAATCATGTATCTTTTTAAATTTCATTTTTTAATGTATTTATGTAAATTTATTTATTTGTGTCTCACATGAAAAGTACATCCACCCATTGCCAACATCGAACAATTTTCCAAAGCTAAACCTATGGCACTATATTTAATTTAGAATGTAATTTCACAACTTCCTACATGTTTTATCATTTTTATTTCATTCACAACATGACCTAACCTAACCTAACCTTACTATGACACAAGCACTATCAAATACAGTCAAACCTGTTTAAGGGACCACCTCTGACATAAACACTTTGATATGAACACAGTTTCTGACCTTATGCTTAAACATCCCATTTCTCCATACATATATCATCAAACACTTTTAACATATACTTGCACTATTCATTTAAACAAGTTTCACTGTACCAAAGTGAAAACATACTGCAACACTTTTAACACATTTTTTCACTTGAAAAAGTACATATGGTTTGAACAGTAAGATAAAGCATGTATTTGTCAGTGGATGAATGGATTGACTATTTCAGGCCAACAATTTTTACAATCAGTATCAAATCAAAGGTCAAGATTACTGTGAGTAACCCTTGTAAATGATTTAATAATCAAACTGAGATATTCTCGATATGCTCAGTGAGGAAACTGAATAAAACCCTGATTTTGATCACGGAAATACATATAACTTAGTTCATTTTTTCATAATAGAATTCAAGATGACATAATCTTAGAAGACATTATGTATGTGTAAAAACTGAGATGGCCAAAAAATGTATAATGAGTACTTATCAGCAATTGTACTTATATTTATTCACAGTGAGTAACATACTAAATCATCAGATATTGAGGAAACACCCTTTTAGTTGGACGGAAGGAAGGGGGGAGGGTATTTCTATAGAATGAGGCAAAGTAAAGTATTGTCCTTATATTTCCCCATCCTCTATTGAAATATATCTAGAATAATTTTATTAATTCTGTGTCATTTTTGGCAAATATTAGCTCAAGGTAAGTTTGGAAAATACAGCCCCTGAGATGAAGGCTGACAAGGTAATATAGGTTTGTGTGTGGCCTTATATAGTCCATTATCTGAATCAGTTGGCTACATTCAAGCTCATCAAATCTCATTAAATTTACTTTGTTTAGTCTCATTAATGGATTCCCTGGCAATACCACGCAACCTTACACAGTAGGAAAAATATCTGACCAAACTGAAATCCGAAACGCATGAGAAAAACCAAAAATACCAATGCTTTGAAACTTGACCAAGTTTTAGCTAAACTGACTTGTTTCTGGTTTATATAAAGCGATTTCTGGTAGTTCAACTAAAGAGAAAACTTACCATTTAAATATCAAATAACTTTTGATGTTGAGTACTCTCTTAGATATTCACTTATGAGTTTATATATCAATTTATCATAATGTTGAACACATAGCTACTGCTACCATAAATCTGTGTGTTAATCCAAATGAGTTATAATTGTAATAATCCTTTGATAATCCATTAATTAAATTATGTAAATTTTGTATATTTTATAATCTGGTGTCCCACTATTTTCAATTATCATCAAAATATCATGTACATGTAATCTGGGACCATATCCTTTTGGTGTCGCTTTTTTCACATCAGGGTGTTCCAAAGTCTGTGTGTGGGAGTATTCCACATCTTGACACGATTCCTTATCTCTGTGTATATCTCCCTTATTCTCACAATTCTCAGTTCATTTCCCATCCAACTGTCTTCTTAGAATGATAGAATAATTATGACTTATTGTAAATACAGTAAAACCTGTGTTAACAAACACCTCCTTGGAGTGAACACCTTTTTCTAGTGGATCTCATCAGCACCAAAACTGTCAATTTATCTCTCCTTTTCAGAGCCTAAATTGTACTAGGCTTAGAGCCTATTGTTCTAGGCTCTGACGATCAAGGTAGGCAGATACTTGATACTAAAAAGACACTTATAATGAAAATGATTCTGGTTTCCCAATTGTGTTCAATACACATACGTTTCACTGTAGATGCAAAATTAGTGGTTTGGTGGTCGAGCAGTCAAGAATAAAAGTTCACGATCTTCATGTACAATTGTATGATTCATACATCCTATGATTGAATGCTATGAATAAATAAATCGGTACAAGTGGAGATAAAATACTACTTTGTGATGTTTGAAATGAATAGTTCACCTTTTCTTTTCATCATCCCCTCCAGTAATGGAATTTTTCTTTTATCAGATATTTCCATTTAAGTTTACTTTTATGAATCCTACATTCCAAGTCGGGCCTAATGTTATATATGTTCTTTGATTGTTCTGACCACTACATTAAGTTAACCATTAATTTCAAATTATCAATTGAAATATAACTAACTTACCATTAAGTAAGATGGTATATGTGTATTATATAGAATAATATCAAACCTGTCCTAGAAACCCTTTCCTTTGATTTTGGTGCTCTAAAAGGGAGCTTCATCTTCATGTAATGTACTAGGCTCTTGCATTTAGGATTACCCTTTGCATTCGTTTGACTTCACTTCTTAAAAGAGAGGTTCATAGTTTTATTAGACTCTGCGCGCAGGGTAATTCAGGATAGGAATATCAGATATTTGATTTCGATTCTTAAAACCGAGCTTCATGAACACCCTGAATTAGAAATAATCCTTTGATACCATAATCGAAAATCATCAATTTCAATACTATCTCTAACAGGGTAAAAAATAACCACCTTCCATTTGTTACAGACACCGATCACCAAACACCACCCACCAAATGTCGACCATCCACAAAAAGGTTGGAGACTATAAAAATATGTCATACTTAGGATAGTGATATAAAAAAGATAATTTGAATCATTAAACTTAAATAAAAAATACTGTGTATATCTCAAACTATCCTACAACTACTTCTCAGAGTTTGTATGCCATAATGTCATATGACATCAATGATACAACATTCTTGTAATGTCTCTAAGCCAATCTTAACAGAGGTATGATAATCTATTCTGCAAATAATGAATCAGGCGGCCTTACACACTTTAAGATAAAATATTACTTACCTATTCTACAAACTGTCTGTGTACATCCGATTGATACAAAATGCTATCTTCTTCGGGTTACAATATACATTCTATGCATCTATTCAATTTGTCATGTTTCGCTTTCTGTTTTTATAATGCTCTTAACAAGACATCTGTTTTGAATTGTGATGAATGAAATATTTGTCTGTGTATATGTATGTGTGTATGTCTGTGTGCTAAATAGTTTTCCTTGCATGTTGTCATTACTTTACACTACCCTGAGTTTTTCAGCAAGTACTTGTATTTGGCCCTCTGACTATACCTAATCATTTATATTTTGCTGTTCAACCAATGAGAGACCATAGCCCAACCCTGTTATATGCTCTGATAAATGACAGGTGTTGATTGATTTGCTGAATTCAGAGATTTATCCTCTCATGTAGAGTATAAGACAATGACATCATTGCAAAGGGTAAATCAAAATGACATTCCTAGGTCCATTCCCAAATATAAATTACTCAATTTTCAAAATCTCAATGCACATCTTTGCCAAAAAGGGTGTCCTTGAATCACTTATTTTAACATGGTGCCTCGTCAAATATAGTACATAAGCAACAAAACAGTTTAAAACATATTTCAAATCTAGGTTTACACTCCTGAATATTTTCTGAATCTAAATGCCATAGTCAGCCTATATATTTTAAACCTGAGAAATAACAAACACAATATTCAATACTTTCAGTAACAATATTGACAGTACACTCTAGGTATGTTTTATTAAGGTTTAGAGAAAATTATATCATCACATATTTTAACGTTAACTTCATAATGAGATTATTTATTTCCTTACTAACTAAAGCTGCATTTCCCATTAATATGGAATTAATGATTAATTTGCCAAGTTATTACTTCCTCCCTTCTTAATGTTTTGATTATGCTGCCATCTTTAAAACAGAACATGAATGAAATTCATCATAACTCTATGAAGGCAACATTCAGATTTAACAGTCTCTATCTTGATCAATCTAAGTCTCTTCCATGGATTGTACATACTGTGGAAGCCACAATAGGCTATAAAAGTTTATTTAAAATTTTTGCTTCATATATATTATGAACCAAACTGATTGCGAGGTCATTCTCATGAGGGTGCGAGGTCATTCTCAACTGGGTGTGAGGTCATTCTCAACTGATTGCGAGGCTATTCTCAACAGGGTGCGAGGTCATTCTCAACTGGCTGTGAGGTCATTCTCAACTGGCTGTGAGGTCATTCTCAACTGGCTGTGAGGTCATTCTCAACTCATTACAAGGTCATTCTTGAGAAACTGCAGAATATAAAAGTGGAATAAGTTACTTACGTTTCATCAAGGAATGCTAATCCGAAGTAATCCTTCTCTTTTAGGTTGAAATGTGACGCGACCATGTCTAAGAGATCACCCGTCTCTAGCTTTGGTTGGACAAGGATATCGAGGTGACGCTCATCCAATAGGACAATTTGAGACTTGCGACCCTCACTCATCTGAAAAATACGAGAAAAAATAAAGTTTAATTTTTATTCATAACAGTTTTGGGATAACAATGTTTAAATGTATATGTACAGTAAAACATGATCCAAACACCTCTTTAATGTAAAAACCTCTCAATGTGAATATTTTTTTGGTCCAATATTTCATACACTTACTCTATTACATGTACTGGTATCAAGCCCTTATAGACTCACACACTACCTCAAACAAATGGACCAACATAATACGCTAGAAAGATAGATCAGGAAGGGGTGGGAAGAACCTCATTGTAAACAAAACTTGAAGCTTTATTGAACAAAACCTGAAAAACCCAGTTGGATTGTTCTAGTTAACATTTACATATTGTTTACTCAAGCAAAAAGATGATTCAGCAGTTGTATTTGATATGTTGGTACAGGTGAGAATGTAGTTGCTTTAACAGTACAGGTATATATCTCCCAGATAAGATTGATTATCGGAAAATATGGCCGATGATGGTAATGTAACAGACCTTCCCTCCCCAAATATTTGATAAGCAGTAGTTTAAACACCCCCCCCCCAACTTTTTTCTTTAGGGTATTAGGCTGTATTATTTACCCCTCTCCAAAACAGTATTCTAAAGGGGGTGGAATGGCTATATCTTAGAACTTCACCACCTCCAGAGGACAATCAGCCATTTTTAGTAACATAACAGAATCAAAACCATTATCATGCCTGAGCCATAGACAAAATTTACTAATAATATGACATATACTGGTAATATACAGTGTATTGATATTATGAACATAAAATATTGATAAAGCTATGCAGCCTAAACATAGCAGTCTCTCTACTCATTCAACCCCCCCCCCTCCCACCCCCGCTTCAGATAAGGAAATAAAAGACCCCTCCACAGATTAATGTCTGAATATCCAGTCATACCACGGAAGAACTAATCTCTACCTTTTTCATATGCTCTTTAATCCTCTTCATCTTTCACACGTAACCATAGATACAGGATAATCCCTGTGTCACAAAATTAGTTTTAATAACACATATTCTGCAAAATAACCTTCCAGGCCTGATAATCTATATTCCATTTTATCCTCCTGATCTAAAAACACTATATACTGCTAGTTTCCACGACAACAGCATGATCTGATATTACACACACAGTATTATTCTTTTGTTCTACTATTTATCCAATCAGTTTTAGTATAACACCTTCCTTTATATGGCAACAGAAACATATTTCAGCCTGCCATTGTTGTATAATTCCATGTCATAGTATAATCCATAATCTGATTCTGCAAACTACAGCAAAATTGAAGCTTAATTGCAGAAATTGTTGTGATTTTGTTGCCATTAAGCTCAAGCGAGCTGACTTGCTATATCACTGCTATCAATACTCAGCCTCATATATGTATTGACTATAAAGTGACACGCATTATTACTACTGTTGTGGTTCTCTGCTTAGCTTTTCCACCACATCTGCTTTCCAATATAAAACCATAGAAACCAGCGTTATTTTTCTGTAACTGTAACTATGACATCTGTTCAGTTAGAAACTATTCCCTTTAAATGTGAAATAAAAGAATGTTTTTTAAAATTAATTATGACTTCTCTAGCAACATAGAACTTTGCCGTAGGCATTTTTAGATGCATAGCAAACATTTTATGATGTGATCAATATGGAAAATTAATACTTCTTCAAATGATTGAATTTTTTCCCTTCAACATTATATACCAAGCCCATAAAAGAAGAACATTTACTTTTGTATATAATCTGAATCAAATATAATGATTTAAAATGTTAATAAGATAGGAATGTTGAAACAAATTAGATTATCAATGTTATGGGGTCATTACTGCCACCTATAAATGATTAAAGAAAATAATTTTATCTAATTTTCCTGAAATATTCTACTGTAATTATGAAAAAACATATGTAGATCACATATTTAAAATTGTAGTTTCATCATGTCACTGTGACACCCAAAACACACCTAACATCTACAAGTAGTCTTGCATTTAAGGGGGGGGGGGGTTCTAGGGATTTGATACACGACTATTCATTTGTTGCTCAAAGAAAGGTAAGACAATGCTTAAGGTAACAATTCTTGTCCTGCATTGTTCTAAAGGAAACCTCTTAAAAAGGAAAGAAGACTGAACTTGTATAAACTCCCCTTTGATTATCTTGAGGCACCGCTTCAGCTCCTGTCGTTTGCTAGATGGAAAATAGAAAGATGGTGAGTGCAAGAATGCTCATTGACCAGCTTCTGTTCATTATGATTATAATTAACTTCCTTCTGTCCATTCAAATAACTGGGAAGTCAAAACATTTCCAGATTCATATCTGGGTAAGGTTGAAGAAAGGTCACAATTATTATGGTTCAAACAAGTGCATGTATAGAAAGTAAATGTATTAAAATGATCTGAATATGCTTTACTCTTGCATTAAGCCCATGCCCCCCCCCCCCTATCTACTTCTTGTGAGGATGATTGAGAGGGGGGGGGCAATGGTAAGACTAAATAGGTTTTCATTCTTTTAGAATAATTTTTCAAATAAAAAAACAATTTAGAAGTTAAACCTGTGAAATTACCATAAAACATGTTTTCATTTAATGCTTACATAAATTAACAATTTTGATACTTCATAAAAAAATCCCATATGTAAAATCTATGAGCACCCAAGATGTTCAATTTAAAATCTGAAATTTTTTTTTAAAAATGTGAAGTTGGTGGCATAACATAGTAGGATCATATGAATCATAAAAGTGCCAATTCTTATCCTTATTAAAAATATCCCTATTAATCCTCTAAAGAAAAGAACAAAGAAATTGCGTCATATACCATCAGTCACATCACCCAAAATTGACTCTTCACTAATTACATTTGAATAATTCAGCAAAACTGGATAAAATACTGCTAAATTATTTTATAACTTAATCTATTTTATGGCAAGATCTAGAAGCCAATAGATGATTGATTATGAAATATTGATTAAACATGGTATCTAAATTGATTAAGACATAAGAAAATCCATATAAGGGTAATTCTGGTTATTCGAGCGCCTAACGATTGTTACATAACACAATAATTTAATAATGAAAAAGCAGTATTATGCATATTTGAAACACATTTTGGTATTAGACCCTCATATGCAATCAATTCCGTCTCATATAGATTCAACCCTTAATGATATCTTTTCTCTCTTTCCTCATAATAGATGGTTTCTCCATTTCTCTCCCATTTTCCCATTTCGGGATCCACAGCTAGTACTATCCTTTGTAATACACAGGCTGTCTCTCCAAGCATTAGATAGAGGGACTCTGATGATATATAACTGAATATCATTCTCCCTTTCCCTTCTTCCTCCCTTGCTCTATTCTCCCTTGTCCTCGTATCCCTATCCCTGTCTCCCTTCCTTCAGTTACAAAAACAAGCAAACAAACAGACAAACAATCAAACAAACAAACAACTAAACAAACAACCACATGAAAGGTAAAATATGATAATAAATAGGTTCGATAACATCATAATAAACAGGCAAACCTAAACAAATCATCACCAGATAAGTTGTGATTATTTAAAGAAACTACACAAATGCCAATTGCTATCTTACCAATGATATCCTAAGCCAGCTCTTGTATAAAATCCTACGTCTATTCTTGGACTTTCTCTGCTTATAATAAATTCCTGCCATTTTTACGTTCTCATTATAAATCCGGAGAAATAACTAGAATATTCAAACTCCATGCACAGAGGCGCCTAAGTCATCCCTAAACTGAAGCATTCATATCCCAAAACTAATATATACGCATACTAAGTCAGTAAATATGAAGCTCGATTTCCTGAGAGTTGCATAATTTCACTGTAGGCATATATCAAGTCTGCGATAGATCATAATTCAACTCTGTGCTAATAATATAGCTGTTATTATCGGAGAATGCCTGAGCTAAGTAGATTATTGAGTAAATGTACATCATCTAGAAGTATAATAAATATAATCATATTGACAGGTTTCAAACAGGCAATGGCATAGATCTAGATAGAACTAGAAAAACACTAGCAAAACTCACTGGATAAAACACATCAAATCACCCCTCCTCTGTAACCTATAGTCTTGCTTTAAAGACCCTGTACTCCCCCCCCCCCCCCCTTTATCCTTCTCTCTGTATATTGCCAGGTAAAGAGAGTGAAGGTAACGGGGGGGGGGTGGATACAGTCTTTGAGCAAGACTATGTAACCTATAAAATTCTCTCTTGAAAAAAAGAGAATTGTAAAAAAATTTGGGAAGAACACTGATGGCTAATTTGAATTTAGAGACCAGACACCAGAATCCAAACTTCTCACAAGGTATTTCCCTTTAAGATTGAACAAAATCCTGCAACGTAGGTATTTGAGTTATCATTCAGACAGAGAAATTAATATACAAATGAATGGACAGACAGATGGAAGGACAGATGATGGATGACAGACTCTATATCCCAAATGGAACTGTTAGGAGGCTAACTGTTCCTAACAAGTAAACTGGAGACATCAAAACATATTCCACTGCACAATATTGGATTAACTATTGGATAAACTATCTCCTGTTGAATCCTGATTTAGAATTACATGTATTGTTATTAACCTGTCAAATGAAGAGATCTGTCATTCATCAATGAGGCTAATAATAGACTCAGTTTCTGCTTAAGATGCTTAAACAAAGTGTGATTCTATTTCAATGCTATCATTTCAACGCTATCATCATCATCATCTTAATTAAAGTACTCAGTCTTACTTCACAAACTATAATTATGTAACTCACATTTCATCATCATTTTTTCGATTTTGTGTCTCAAACAAGCCACATAAGACTATGTACAGTACAGTGTTTATGTAATGTGACTACCTTTCTAAAATGAACACCTCAAAATATGAACACTTTTTTGTTAATGTTTTGATGACTTACTGACCCCCAGGTTGTCAAGGTAGAAACACATTTCAGTAAATACCTCCTGGTAGTTCCAACTATGTTTATACAATGCAT